TGCGAAGTGTTCTGGTTTGACACACCAAATATATCATTTGGATTAATAGCATAGATACGTATAGTCTTTAAAGAGAAAATGTCATAGAGTTATCATTGAATTATTATTTTCTCTCCTTTTTTTTTGCACTCCAGAATCAATTGATAAGGCAAAGTCATGTGATTTTATTTGTTTAAGGAAAAAATATAGAGGTATTTAGTTTATTCTAGTTTTGCTGGTACGGTTGAAATGAAACGTAAGTTATATATCACACCACAACACAACCCATCAGTCAGTACAAGTCAATTGACTTGGTGGTCAATTTCATACACTTTCCAATTTAACCCATACATATATGAATTAGACGGAAAGCTCTCTCTATCCCATATACTTATGATGGGATCAATATGAAAATTCAATTTCAGCTAGGGCTCCGGCCATCATGGCTAATTTAAACCCAGAATTCCCAGGATGGCAGTGAAGGGTGAGAGATTCCCGCGGCTCATTTGAAGAGGATGATTACTTGTTCTGGTTTGATTGGGCTATTCTTTCTCTAATGAGGGTTAATCCTGAATTGTGTTTCAGTGTAGGTTGCATTTTCCAATCACTGATCCAAACATAGAAAGATGATTTTCTGTATAATGAGTCATCCATTGATTTAAAAAAATTCCATTCCAAACATTTTGTCTATTCTCTCATGTAATTCAAGTACTCAACTAGTCTTTTTCTCTCCAAACATTGAGATTATATACTGAGAGATGCAGTCTCTATGATCTATAGATTATATCCTCCAAATAGTTTTTTGTTTTTCTTAAGCTCAAGTGTTTCAGGTACAGGTGTAGGTAAAAATTGAGATGATTTAATGAGAGATGCATTCCTTCATCGGTAGGTCCATGAAGTTTGTTCTCTAAAGAGATTACTTTGTTTAAAGGTAAAGACCAGTATTGGAAACGCCCCAATTTCAAAAAATGAAATGGAAGCTCTCATTACCAATCATGTGAAAGAATATGTTTTGACTAATACATGATGATAAAAAATTTGCCGGGAAACCGCCTACTAATTCATACATGTATATTTGGTAAATTTGTTTCTCTCATTGTCTGTGAGCTATAGGGTAGTCCCATATACATCTTTCTGTGTATAGTGCTTGTAACTTTACGAAGAATGGGCCAAGTTTCTTATCATTTTGATGATTCCAGAACCTTGCAGATGCTAGATGCTAGATGCTAGATGATCAACCTTTTCTGATCGATTCCACAACGTTTCTTTCACAATGCAATCGCGTGACCATAACTGGCCTTTACCTTTAATAGAGATGCACCCTCACTCCATCTATTCAGTCTTTTCTCTCTAGCTTGAGTATGTCAGATAGTCTTATTTTCCAAACATGGATATTATGAGTGAAGGGAGAGATGCGCATGCAGCCTTCCCAGCTTCATTTCATAGAATACGTCTGTTCTCCTTAGGCTAGGTGTTCAGATATATTTCTTTCCAAACAAAGACATGAGTTTATTGGAGATATAATCATTTATGAATTCTTCATTTAGTGAATTTAATCTGATATCAATAGCTGAAGTGTTCTTGGTGGTCATATAGTTTTATATAAACATTGAGATGACTTATTGGAAGATGCAGTCATCCATGGCTTCTTTATTCCAGGAAGTTTGCTCTGTAAATATGCTGCAGACAGGTTATATTGACTGAGCAAAACAGAGTCAAGGTTAAATCAATGACTTTATGCACATGAATGTTGTACTGACAATAGGCATATTGATTTGTTGTATGTGCACACCTCTATGTTCCTGAATGCACTGTGTACCGGTGAGGTCTGATCAAGAAAGATCAATGTTACAGAATCCACGTCTGTGTAAATAAAGCTAGAAATATGACTGGTTTTATTGACAGAAAAAAATACAGACGGGTGAACATAAATCAATGAATTATGCTCATGAATATTGTCGTCACAACTGGCGTATTGATTCATTGTATTTGTATAGGTTATTGGTGAGCTAGGGCTGATCAATCAAGTCAGATGAACTAGGACATGAAGATTATAATGTCACAGTGGTCTTTGTATGATTTTATTTGACAGACATAGGGTGCATCTATCATCCCTTTTCAGGCCTAGAATCAGCGTTTTCAAACGTGTTTCAGGCAAATTTGCATGGTGATAAACGCAAACCTGTTTTCAAACGTCTTTAAATATGGGTTTATTGAACCGCCGAAAAAAGTGCGTTTTGAATGTGAGAATGAGCCAGAATCACGTTTCTGAGAGATGATAAACACAAAGCTGTTTTGAAATACACATACATATTGGACCTTCCCAGGCTAATTTCCTTTTCAAATAAACAGTGTGCGCCATGTGCTGTGCCCTAGTTGACCTCCGAACAACTGTCTGCTTCCCGGGTCAAACGGCAGTTGCGCAGAGACAAGGCCTTTATTTTGACTCGTGACGAGTTGATAAAAGTGACATCCCGTAAATCACGTTCGGATAGTGGGATTCAATATGTATGGATAGAAACGCTGTTTCTGAGTGGCAAAAGATGATAAACGCACCCATACAGAGACGGGGATACATATCGATACTACCCTCATTGATTCGTTAAACTGGAATTTATTGTGTATTCCTTAGTCACATCGCCAAACTGATTCCAAACTGACCAAATCATGGTCATTCGGTGAAATGTAATTTTTTTTCTCAGTCTTTTTTTTGGTCAGGTGTCCCCATGTCCCATTGGTATGGCTGGAGTATTAATAATAGTGACGTCCGATCAAGGAATTTAAATGAACTAAGACGTATAGTGTGTGTGATAACCACTTATGTTAGGAGATATATATATATATATAGATATCTATTTCTACTGATGCATGTAGGTAGATTTAACTACATGTACCGGTATATCTGAATAATTAAATTATGTATGTACACTGAACATAGTGCTAATTAAGTGATATCCTCTTTCAAATCCATTTGAATGCTGAGACTGTAATGCAGTTGACTGCCATTTATTGATAATTCACTGAGTTGCTATCGATTGGAGCGAGGTTGCACTTTCCCAACAGCTCCAGCAAATGGCAACCACTGCCTGAATTAGCCACTCTAATTTCCTGCATATACAATTATGAGGCTGTCTTACTGATCAACTGTGGGACCATATATAGATGCATGCACCAGCAGATGGTTGCGAGGCAGGGATCTCAAACCTGTGAAATTATTATGTGCCGCTGACATTTCTGCACGATAGATTATGCGTAATATTAATAATAATAATAATAATGATAATTGGGATCTTGTATCATAAGGGAGATGACTTGAGCTAAAAATATAATCTAACCAAGTTTGTGTTGATTATTGAATGTATGAATAGCAGAAGTGAAATGTGGAAATACATGTAATTGATATGGATGAAATATTTAATTTAATCAACAGAAGAAATGTGATGGTAAGGCAGATGGTTTTAGAATTGAATTCTGAAAAGTGGCATTTGACGAAGGATTTCTGCAAATTAAATGTTTAATAATATTTTCCTGTGGGGTTTAGGGAGGAGGTTTGAAATATAGGGTTAAATCAACGTTTTAAGAAGAATTTATGAGTGTGTGTGAGAGAGAGAGTGTGTTGCCTACTGTATTAGAACACAAGACATCAATCTTGTTTACCATCATACTGGTAATATTGTCTGTTCAAACTAAGTCTGAAGGGTGTTCACTTTGTATAACTTTTAAGTTAAAGCCCTTCTGACCCCAATCAGACGATGCATAGGTGATTCTTATTTAACCTTACATGGAGAGAAAGAACCATAATAATATGTACTTGACTTCTTTCATAAGATGCAATAGAGGTGAGAAAATAGAAAAGAACCAAAAATGCTGCAAATTTCTTAGCCAGAAAAATTACATAATTTTATAACAAGTTCAAGTAGTCTCTAGTATATTTTATGAATCCCTTCATTGCAAGTAAAAGCTGTTTTTCAGAATTAAGGAGGATGCTAGCAAAAGCAATTTATTTCTCCACTTATTATTACCGGTAGATGTTTTTACAAGTGTGAAAGTTTTTCATTTGTTAGCAGGACAAGATTAAATCTGAATAAAAACTAACTGAAAGCAATTATTCATAGTTGACATTCCTTGATTTGTGACCTCCAATTCCCTAGGAAATGTTCTCCTGTTTCAGATACTCAGTACCTCCTTGATATTCAACCTACATGTATCAGTTCTTATAACAGATTGTAAAACTTAAAACCTGCGAACTCCCACAAAGTGTCAATTGGTGTTTTGTCAGGAATCCATGTTAGGATCACTCACATACTATCGATTCCAACCACTGACCCGCTAAATACATTTGATCCCTCAACAAAGTAAACAGTATCTTCTGAATCTGATGACAAATTGTTCTAGATACCAGTAGTCCATTTAGGTGAATATCTTGTGAGTCTAGCCTCTGTGCAGTAATATTGCTGGAAATATGGACCTACGTGTTGGAAAGAATAAGGGATTGGAACAGAGAGGCAAGCAGAAGCCAGACGTAGCCATTGGGGGGGGGGGGGTTGAGGAGTTGAGTGGGAATGTAGTGGGTGAGAGGTTGCCGACTATGACATGGGAGAGAGAGAGGCCGGGGGGGGGGGGTATTTAAAGTAAAGAGGAAACAAGAAAAGTGTGAAATAGAAAGAAGAGAGACAAAAAGAAAGAGAATGAGAGAAAAAGCAAATAAAATGAGCAGAGAAATGGGGAAGGGGAGTGAGAAGAGTAGGGAAAGAAATAGTGGTAAAATTCATGTTCATGACATTTTTTGGGGGGGCACTTTCCCCTTTGTACCTGAGGACTATTACTTTAGGCAATGAGGAGAGAAGAGGAGAGGAGAGGGAAGGGGAGGAGGAAAAAAAAGGATGTTTATCGATGGAGATTTTTGAGACATTGCGGAGGTGGTTGTGGAGTCATAGAGACCTGAAGGTTAGGGTAGTTGACTTGTGTTTCATGTTCCTGTAGATTCAGAATTCTTTCCTTATTTTTCTCCATTTTCACAGAGCATCAGCAGTTGATCATGGGTCTGAAACGAGAGCATAAGGAAGCTTTGGAGAGTCTGAACGTAAGTCAAATTCGAGTCTCTTTCTTATATTTAAAAAGAATAGTGTGTTCTCCTGTATTAAGCAAACTTCTAAATTTGGAACACCCTCATTTTATCTCTTTGTTAGGAGCCTTTCACATTTTTCAATTCAAGGGGATTATATCATATTTGAATTGACTGCATTGCAAGCATTATATTTTGAATACTACAGGAATGTTGGTTTCCCAGTTGTCTTTCTTATATATTCTCCTCTCTTTTGGGCCTCCCTCTTTCTTTGTACAACGAATAAGCAATCTCATACTATTGTGGTTATCAATTTATATCAGCTACATGTAAGTTAGCCTTGTAAGACTGATTGGTGATTTCGGAGCGGTTTATTATCAACAATAGATACATTGCATATGACAAGATTTCACCTTTATTGAATTACATATTTTCAGTAAGATGTAATTGCAGAGGAATGTCTTCAAATTTGCCAAACAATGATGATCGTTCTCCTATTAAGTTTCAGACCTTTTTTCCCTTCATCATTCTTTTCATATCTTGTGAATTTATATGTTTACTAAGAGTATCTTGGTCCCTCTTTCTATGCATGAGCAAATATAATAATATTTTAAACTATGTCATTATTGGCTTGGATTTGTAATGGCGATTGTGTTGTGTGCTATTTTAAGGTCTTGATATTTCTCTTTTTCCAGACTGAACATGAAGGGTCAGTCTTTGATGTAAGAGGACAACATGCTGCCCTTGTTTGTATGCTAGAGGATCAGTTAAGTGATCTGGGAAAGAGAGTCAAGGAACTAGAAGCAGAACAATACAGATATACTAGCAAACAATGTGTGGATGTTGCCGTTGAGACTGATAGGATAGAGATCAATCGGGAACCCTTGCAGAGGCATATTGACAAGTTTGAGGAATTTGCACATGAGCAGGGGGCACAAGAGCATCCTCACAAAGCTCAGAAGCCTTCAAGACATCAAGGACAGACAGGGTCTAACCCTACATCTCCTAGTGAGCTGCATCCATCAGCACCGGCAGAGAAACCTCATGGTGCTCTGATACCACAGCCTTCTCCTCCTCCTCCTCCTCCACCTCCACCTCCATTACCAGGTGGCATGCCAAGCCCTCCACCACCTCCTCCGCCACCACCACCTCTTGCCCACTCCTCACATACAGGTATGCCCCCTCCCCCAGCACCTCCACCATTACCTGGTGCCTTAGGACATCCTGCACCACCACCACCACCACCACCACCTGCACCTCCAGGGATGCCAGGTGTACCTGGGAGGGCCATGCTTATCACCCAGAAGATTCCAACCAGGCCGATCATAGAGCCATCGGTGCCCATGAAACCACTCTACTGGAATAGAATACAGCTTCATAAACTTGCCAGTCAACGAGGAAACAATTTGTAAGCTCACCTTGGATGCTCATATTTACAGTAGTCTCAGTTAGATCATCTTACAATAGACGTCTTAATGAGATAGATCAACAAAGGATGTCCTTTAAGTGAAGTGAACATCGTATGTGGGTAGCCTTCTCCGTTACATGTGTCTATGAATAACAAAAAGGATAGTTTGGTTTAGCCAAAATCCTATAATGAAGAAAATTAATCACAATTAAATAAGGTTGTAAGATTGATTTGGTGTATGATGAATGGAAAAATATTTCATTCCAATCACAATTGTCAAGACTTTTAAGAAGCCTAATTCAGTAGCCTGGTGCATCATCTATCAATGAGGCTTGAAAAGTATTCTTGTATGAATGACTTACATTTATTATGTTGATTATTCAATTTATTTATATCAATCAATATTGTATGGATGTAATCATTAGGGAAGAAGCCGTTTGGATGGATATGAAGGAACCTGATGTCACTTCAGAAGAACTTGAGTTACTCTTCAGCAAGAAGCTCATGAAGAAAAAGAAGCCATTGTCTGATAACTACAGCAAGCCTAAAGTCAAACAGGTAAAGAAAAGCTATTGCGATAAGAAGGATTGGGGGAGGGGGGATATGGCACAGTATCCAGTAAATTGAGAAGGGTGATGACATTACTGTTGAGTTATGTAAGGAGAAATACCATAAAAGATGTTATAGTTAATTTTGTTATTTTCTAAAGAAAACTTGCATGTGCTTGTTGGTCATACATGTATGTTGCACATCAGGGCCCTGTCCAATAAAAAGTTGCAAGTTATAGATTTCAAATCATCCAATCACTCCCTCGAATTTGCCATCGCCTCTTATCTACAAAGTTGGGATATCAATCTCAAATTTATTTGCAATCTATTCTGATCAGTCACAAGTCTTTATGAGACAGCTGTTCTACAGCCCCAACAGTCCAAATGAACCTGCAGAATAGAGCTTATTTCAAGTGCTTTCTTGATAATGCACTACCTTGATCATGTCATCGATGCTTGTCCTATCTACAAATCCCCTCATGGTGATTCTGGACTTTGAGAGCTCGCTGATGAGACAATCAGTTGGCTAAATAAGGATCTTCTTATTTAGATGATGTACTCCTTGATATTCTTTGTACGAATGAACAAACTACCTTGATAAATATATTTTTTGTACCTTCAAACGCTGGGAATAAATTTTTACCAGCTCCTCTGTGTGAGGGTCACAGCAGACATGTACATGTGACATTTCAAGGGAGTGGAACATTCCACTCTGTATTATCAAATAACCCTGATTCTTGGTCTGGAAAAAGCATTGCTAACCTGCAAGTGATGACTTGGTGAAATGCAGTGTCATGAATGTGAAATAGAAAATTCCTCGGCATATCTTGTTTTACTTTGACAGATTGCCATTTTTTTTTGTAAAGCAGAGTGAATTTAAATTCAGAAGAAATTAAGCCGTAAGCCTCAAATCTAACTTACGAATATAAGTGTTGAACAATGTGTTTGGACAAAAAAAAAGCTATGTTTTTTCTTCTCAAAACAGGAACAGGTACCTTAGCAGTAAGGTTTAATTCCATGGAGGAGATTTTAGCCCCAATTCAACATTGAATCAAAGCTTTTTAAAGTCAAAATCAGTTTCCTGAGATACTATTTATAATGATTGTTCAAGAACTAGTTAGCATTGAAGGGGTAAACACCCTATCTTATATCATGTTATTCTTGACAGGTTGCAAAGTTATTGGACAGCAAGCGTTCACAGGCTGTAGGTATTTTCATGTCCAGTCTACACGTTGAGATGAGTGACATCAGACATGCTGTTCTCAACGTGGATATGTCCATCATAGACCTGGAGAATCTTCAGTCACTCTATGAAATGGTAAGACATCAAATTTGATTAGTGTTTGAAATGGTTAATATAGGAATTTTCTTCAGAGCATAAAATGTAAGTCATAATCACTCTAGCAGTGTGCATATTTGTATTTCAGTTGAACCATGTGGTAATTAATCATTTCCTAGAGATTGTGTACATATTTCAAAGATGCTACAAATCTATCTCACAGTTTTCATAATCATCATTTTAGTGATAATGTGATTTGGGGAACCAGCCAAGAGTACCTTATAGAATACATCTTGAAGGAACTGAGTGATTAATAATGATAAGATAAACTTATATATATAGCACAGCTACTATATAAATATTTTCTGTTCTGCTTTGGTGAAAAATCACCTTTGAATGCTACATGTACACACACCAATCTATTTAAAAGCTTCTGAAAGCAAGTGAGTCTTCAAGAACAAAGCTTTGAAGATGGTAACAGTATTGAGGATCATTGCATTGAAGGCATAAAAGCTTTGATCTGGTTCTAAATATGTGACCTTGTGGATTCAAGGTCATTGCTTTCTCCATTGAGAAGTTTGATTTCATTGTGGAAACCTAGAGGAAACTTTGAAGGACTTGGAAAATCAAGAAGCCTTTTGCAAATTAAAGAACCATTTTTTTAAAAATGGAAATGCATACAATTTTAATACATTTGTGAACTGATTTACAGAGAAAAATTAGTATTATTTATTTCATTATTTTTTTAATCTTTTTTGTCTTTCTTGTGCTGTATGATTTCAGAGACCTCAAGCGGATGAGATAAAGATCATCAAAGAACACACAAAGAAAGAAAGTGCCAAACCACTGGACAAACCTGAACAGTATGTATACCTTATATACCATCCTTTGCTACTGGATCGATGAGTGTCCAGAGGAGGATTATGTAAATACTGAATAGCCCTTAGTGGGCTGCAAGGGTATATCACACAAGCTGTCGAGCATATTTTAGGAGTCAGCTCGACATGTGAAATATTATCAGAGCTAGTGTAATATACCATTGTGTCATATATATTTTCTTTGATTTCAGGGTTATAAGATATTGATTTGTCCCTGTGACAGTATTTTGCAAAGCAAGTGGAGCGTATTTCAATAGTCTTAGCACATTTAAACACAAATTTGCATCTTTATAAGTTTGCACAAACAAACCATAAGACACATACCGGTATACCAAATTAACATCACACTGTCATTTGCATACTTTTAGCAAATCATGAGATAAACTGATTTTTCTTTCTTGCTGTACCCGGTAAATTCTTCATACATGTACAGATAATCATTTCCGATATCGTTTTAAAAATTTATGTAATTGTAATTTCCTTACCTAGGTTCTTGTTGGAGCTGTCTGAGATACCAGACTTTGCCAATCGAGTGTTCTGTATCACATTCCAGTCGACCTTCGAAGAGAATCTAGTGGCTGTCAAATCAAGACTTACAATTATCTGGGACATTTGTGAGGTACATACATGTATATACAATGTATATACTGTAAATGATCATCTGTATTTTGTGTGAAAGCTTTAAGGTTCTTATGACTGGCATTATATTTATTTATTTATTATTCACTTGTGTTTTGTTTATTATTTATCTATTGATTTATTAATTTCTTTATTTCTATAATGATTTTTTTTATTTATTCAGTATCGTCATACAATTCCGTACACCATTTGTGCCTTACATGCTGCACACTATTCAGAGCTTACATGATGCATTAATTTACTACTTTCATTCTTAAGTTATTTAATATTTAGATATAGCTAGATGTTCAGTAATAATATGTTGGATTTTAACTGATCATAAACATTGTATTACCTTTGGTTCTTGTTATTCATTTTATTTTAGGAGCATCAAATAGAAATTATATATCAACAAATATGTACACAGTCACATATAGATATGGTATGACAAACCATAATTGAAATGCTGTCATTTTCTCATTACATATTGCATGTGTTTATTTTGTGATCTAGCATCTACGAAATGGATCAAGTGTAAAGCAGTTTCTTGCCTTGGTGCTAGCAGTTGGAAATTACATGAATGGAGGTAAGAATACTTTTTCCTTCTAGTGAATACTACTATTAATGTACTGCTTTTACTACCACTACTACTATTTCTACAACTGCTACCACCACCACCACCACCACCACCTATTTTAGATTGCTTACAATTAGTCACTGCTTTTTTGTCTTTCCCAGTTAGAATCATGAACAGACATTTTTGGTAGTTTTTCAGTCTCATCAGCGCCTTTGATTAGGCAACTAGATATATGGTGCTTTATAAATTCCTGGATTGGATTGGATTGGATTGGATTGGATTACTACTACAGGAATACAATAATGGAGTCTGAAGAAATGATATGAATACATGCACATAGATCAGAATTAAGTCACATAGTTGTAGCTTAGATACGTTTTGATGGCTTTAGACTGATAACATTGTTGACAGTGTCATAATTCAAACATCATGGTATCTGATTGTTCTCTGGTTTGTAACTTATCCCACATTTCTCTCTCTAGTACCAGTAAAGAGGGGACTTGTTTTTCTTCTCGGCTCTAAAATATTTGAAATGCTTTGTTGGATTTCAGCTGAGCCTTAAAACCCTCAATATAAGGGACTTTATCACTTTGTATCAGACACGTCAATAAGACTGCAAAGTTTTCAGAGGGTATTGACCAACTTGGGTAACTTTTAACACTTTTGAAAAGATATTATGTGTTCAATGAACTCTACAAAATATGAAACTAAGTGTCAGTAAATTCTTGCAAGACTTATATATGATATAGAACTGGGAGATAGAATGATGACTGTTGCATAACTCATGTTGCCTCGTAAAACATCTACAAGAGGGAGGATGACGTTAAGACGAACAATTAAAATTTTCAGCCAAATATGTGGTCAATGAACTCTACAAAGTAGAAAACTTAGTGTCGTCAGATTCTTGCAAGAATTGTTTTAATGTACCAGTAAAGAGGGGACTTGTTTTTCTTCTCGGCTCTAAAATATTTGAAATGCTTTGTTGGATTTCAGCTGAGCCTTAAAACCCTCAATATAAGGGACTTTATCACTTTGTATCAGACACGTCAATAAGACTGCAAAGTTTTCAGAGGGTATTGACCAACTTGGGTAACTTTTAACACTTTTGAAAAGATATTATGTGTTCAATGAACTCTACAAAATATGAAACTAAGTGTCATTAAATTCTTGCAAGACTTATATATGATATAGAACTGGGAGATAGAATGATGACTGTTGCATAACTCATGTTGCCTCGTAAAACATCTACAAGAGGGAGGATGACGTTAAGACGAACAATTAAAATTTATTCTAAAAGATGAAAGAATGTAAGGATAGAGAGACAGATTCTTGCAGCATTGTGTCTTTTTTCTTTCCATAATTCTTGAGAATTATATATACCGGTAGTTAAATTTTTGTAAGCTGCCACATGTTTTCTCCAAGCTTCTTCGTAACAATGTTTATCTTCCATCTACCATGGGTGTCATTTGGTACAGTTGTAGGCTTGCCATGAGTTCCAAGTGGCATAAAACAATCGGCACAAATTAAAGGAAACATTATGATGTGTATTATAAAAAGCTCACATTTCTCACATAATAACCCATTTCCTGTCCTTATTGACGACATGATAATCCTTGTTCACATTGGTACCTAGTTTTTACTGGACATTGAGAAATAAACTTAGATCGTTGCACAGGAATATTATGAAAGCACAAAGTGACAACTGATTCTGCACAATATTCTTACCCTGGGATTAAGAGGGAGTTATGTTTTGTATGGTTTCAACCCTTTTATTGAGAGAGAAGTCATTTTTTTATGTTTATAGGTAATAGAACAAGAGGACAAGCGGATGGTTTTGGGCTTGAGATCCTCCCAAAGCTGAAAGATGTCAAAAGTGCAGTAAGTATTTTAAACCATTATCGACTTTATAGACTTTGATGTTAATGTGAAATCTATGTGTATTCATTATCATAATTAATCAAAGTATGAATTCACATATTGCATCCATTACTGATTTCTTTTATTGATTGAATTATAAAAATGGATATCATTTTCATGAAGCCTGTAATATCTGCTTTTCTCAGATTTTAATGAATACATGAAATAATACTACAGCACCTGTAATGCACCATCGATCTTTAGCACGGGTGCCATTACGGCTCTCTAGCATTTCAAGGAGTTAATTACCCATTTACATCACCTGGGTTGAGTGTGGCAAATTTCTCCTGCTCCTGGCAATAAATGGGGGAGCTGCGTGCAAGGTAAATCATAGAGTTGCCAATTAGTATTTGATTAATTACAATATTAAATATTCATATTAAAGTTTGTTATCAGACTTTGTGTGTTATATCAGAATTTCTCCTTTGATTGCTTCTACAGTATGTTGTTTCTTTGTTTTGCTTCTCCCTCCCCACTATCTCTCTCTCTCTCTCTTTCTCTCTCTCTCTCTCTCTCTCTCTCTGTCTCTCTCCTCTCCTCTCTCTCTCTCTCTCCTCTCTCTCTCTCCTCTCTCTGTCTCTGTCAATACATTTTCTAATTTATTTTGCTTTTTGACTTTTCTACTACAGAACAACGACGCAAATCTGCTGGAGTACATTGTCGCTTGCTATGTTCACAAAATTGACAAAGTAAGTTTACAGCAAACATCACTACTGTAAGTTATCCAAGTCTGTTACTCAACTTTGCATTACAAGCTTTGTTATTATTCTTCCTGCTTTCACCAGTCTGACTTTTTAGGCACTCAGATCATTTGAGGAATTAATTTTGTCCATCAGGTACCTTGGTTAAAGTGTATGATAGAGAGCATATTAGAATACAACCATGTGGATAGCCCTTCAAAGGATTGTTTGTATTCTTTCATGTTGATTGAGAAGTCCTGAAAAGGACAGTTCATCTACTCTCTAAGTTAACTCCTCGCCATGCAAATCTGTACTTTCAAACAACAATTAAAGTGTACCAATCGCCAAAAACATGTTTTGCTCTTGATGTAAGGGATTCCATGTCACTATACTATATTGAAAATATGAGCTTCAAATATTACTTCTACAAGGATTTGAAATCAGAAAAGTGGTATATGGTACTCAGTATATTTGGACCCTTTACAATTACAATAATGACATCTTTGTGCAATTTTTTTTTCTGATGTGTTGTAATAGTCATACTGGATCATTCTATTTTCTGATTTTATGTGTTCTTGATTGATCGATAGGATTCGGAAACTGAGAGTAAAACGTTGCCCTTACCTGAACCAAGTAAAGTCACTCAGGCAGGTCTTTTCAAGTTTGAAGATCTGGAAAAAGACCTCAGAAAGATTCAAAAGGATCTCAAAGGTAAGCACCAATAATCAGAATGGATAGATGATAGAGAGATAAATGGTATTTATTGATTCATTTCCATGTATCGCAGTTACAAGTAACTGAATTGTGCATGAATAAAACATTGATGGTGAAGACAATTATACATGTCAAGAGATATCACAGTAAAAAGTAACTGAATTGCACATGAGTAAATTGCATGAAAAAAGCAAGTATACATTTCAAGATGTCACACTACAATCTACATAATTATGAAGAGCGTGTATATACTATATACCATTAATCTTATACAATATTTCAATTTAAAAATTTGAGTTAAAAAAGAAAGAGAGATGGGAAAGCATGAGAGAGAGAAAGAAAGAGAGAGAAAGAGAGAGAGAGAGAGAGAGAGAGAGAGAGAGGGGGTGAAAGGAGACAGATGGACAGAGAGGGAAAACAATTATGTCCATGGTGATAAAATACAGAGATACATTGCAAGACAAATATGAATATTATAAGGTGAATATTAGAAATATTAAAATATAAATATAGATATGCAACGCATTCTTCATGTCATAAAAAATACATTGACTAACTTGGTAAAAAATCAGACCTCAAATTTATGAATTCATTATATACTTAGGAATATGAAATTGTAATTTGACAATTTAATTTGTTTCAAAGTATATTAAATACAATCATAAAAAACTTTTGTTATACGAACGGATCAAATCAGGGATTGGGCTATTCTGCATACGTTTAGTTTTGCACCTGGGTTCAGGGATCTTGTTAGTTCTTTGCAAAGTTCTATTGTGTGCTCTTTGGGGTATAAATTGTTTGAACTGGTCTGTGCATGATAGAGTTTTTTTTAAAGAAAGTACCACATAGGTCATTTCGAGGACTTTCCAATGTTTGTAATTTCAATTTAGTAAGAGCGTTTGCGTAACTATGGTAATGGGAGTAAGATAAGATACAATTGCTGAAATTTGAAAGAGTGTCGTCTCATCTGCCTATAACCAGCAGGGCAGTAACTTAAAGGTAAAGACCAGTTTTGGAAACGCCCCCCTCTCAAAAAATGAAATGGAAGCTCTTACTACCAATCAGGTGAAATTTGACTAATACGTAATGATATAAATTTTGCCGAGAAACCGCCTACTAATTGATATATTTGGTAAATTATTATATCTATTTGGACCTGATAGATATTGTGCACGTGTCGCATAGTCCCATATACATCTTTCTGTGTACAGTGCTTGTAACTTTACCAAGACTGGGCCAAATTTCTCATTATTTTGATGATTCCAGAACCTTGCAGTACACGCCAATACTTATATGCTAGATGATCAACCTTTTCTGATCAATTCCACAACTTTTCTTTCACAATGTAATCACATGACCATAACTGGTCTTTATCTTTAAATTTGATGTCATTAGGGGTATTGATACTGTATTTAGCACATTTATGGGCAAGCCAGAGGTATTTTTGTCCCATACATAATCTACTACATCTATGATTCTAGTATTTAAAAAGTCTGACTTTTTAAATACTAGAATCCTACATGCGCTCAAACTACAACAAATATCAAGGAAAATGACATTTAGAAGTCAATTGTTGTTCAGTTTTCCTTATTCTTGGTATCATACAAGGCAGTTAATGGCCACATACCTGAGACTTGCCCTCCTATTGGAAATGGGGAACTAACAGTTGACTTCTTTTGAATTAGAGGATATTAACCCTGTACTCTGTACTTGCTACACAATGAAACCTAAAACTGCCACATTCTTTAGAGTACTTTGTACACAGTACAGATACATATCATTTGTGACCGAAATCTCTGTTGTAGGCCACTGTTTGTTTCATAAGTTTACCAAAGTGGGAAAGTTATTAATCTGCCACCTAGTTTATAGACATGTAGTAAATATAGATTTAATTCTTTTTAGACAGGTTTCCAAGTATGGTTCTCTCTTTTCCATCATACCTAACTTCAGAATTTGTTGAAATATTTTAAATTTGAGAAAAAAACAAGCTTTCTTTGTCCAACAATATTGAGCAAAATACCTGAATGTTAATCATGTACATGATATCTAACCTCTGAGAGGTAGATTATTATTAAAAGAAATACCTGTTTCTCCCCAATAATAATACTTTCAGTCTTCACATTTACATGAAAAAGAATAAGTTGCAGCTCTTGTTTTTGACATGCATATCACCCAATTATTTGAAGATGAATGCCTTTTAATGTATGAAATGCATTATAAGCCTTTATGCCAATTCTTTACACATGTGATGAAATTGGAAATCCCCCAATCTGTCAAAAGGCGGTTGGGTTTCAACTTTTATTTTCACTTTTTGTTTTAATGGTCTCATTCAAGTAACGTGATTTGACTTTACCTGCCTGTTTATACTAATTTATCCAATTTGTTGCATATGAAAGGAGGGTTTCAGGGAGAGATGTATTTCTTCTTTTTATAATTTTTTTCAAACCTCGTTAGCATTTCCTTCTGATATTTGGTTTACATTGTAATGAAAGCCACATTGTTATGTATGACTTTGGTGTGGAATTCTTTGTAATACCTATATACCAGTGGAAGATTTAATTTATGTTTTGAAGACAAATGAATCAATATATTCAAATCTTGGCAGGTTGCGAGACCAAAGCAGAGACAGTACGGAAGAATTCAAGTGAAGAATATCGTCAACCTTTCAGTGACAGCATGGCTTCCTTCATCAGTGGAGCATTAGAAGATATCAGCAAGGAAAGCAGAAGATTATCGGATACTAGAAAGAAGTAAGAACTCCTCATGCGTAATGCATGGCTTTAAGCATAGCGATTAAAAGTTTTAAGACTGTATTTTTCAAGTATCGGTATGAATAGAATGATGAATATCATTAGATTAATAATGAAGGTACAAGGGAATCATGTTTTTTCTGGTATTTTTCATCTGATATTGAGCTGTAAGTAGTAGCATCAAACCATAAAAAGAGACAGCCAGATTGTATTATGAATTTCCAACAACAACAAAAATTGAAATTGAATTTATTTTTTGGAGTGGGAAACCCATACATTTTTGTAAACAAGAAACACAACACAATGTTATTGTTTTCAAATATCTTTAATCACACAATGAACGCAAATTTTATCAGAAAATGTGTTAGTAACATCTGGTCACAGTATATGTAAGGAAAATTTTTCTTTCTACATAAACAAAATATTTTAGACATAAATGACTGCATATGATATTCTATTAACTATTTTAAAAGTAAAAAACACTATAAAGTTTATCATTATTGATACAGTGTTAGACATGTTACAACATAATCAATTAAAACAACTAATTTAGGTGCCTCCATACTAAGAAGCTACCCTATTAACCCATAGTCTATGTGAACCAGATGGTTCATGTATTAAAGCCTAGGGATATGAGATCATTCAGTAGTTAACAGGTTAAACAAACAATTCAATAACACTGCCCTCTTCAATGTTTCAAGTTGTCCTCATAAGATAGTCAACATCTTTTATTGCTTCACTTGAAAATTGCTCCCATCTATTTGAAGTGATGTGATCTATTATGTTGAGAAAATAATAGATATTCATAGAATTGCTTTCAAATTCATTCTGGAAAGCCTATTTGTTAGAAATCAACCTTTTGTACTGCTTTTCTAAAGTCATTTAGCTCTCTTAGTGAAATTGTAGGTTTTGAATCCTATTATTTACCTTAAATTAATGACTCATCATTGTGGTTTGGTTTTATCGTGGGGTCATGATGTTTTATGTTGACAAAAAGTTATTCTCTGAATTAATTTATCATTATACATCTACATGTCCTGAAATTAGTTTTTATATATAAATGGATTTAATAACCCTTTCAAAGGAAAATATGAAATTAGAAAGAAAAAGAAAAACTTGCATTTTTTAATTTCATAGAATAAAGCTGCACTGGCGTCAAAATGAACTTGTTTAAATATATTGGAAACTTAAATTCTGTCAAAGATACATGTATCTTTTATGTCATTATACAATCATCCTTTTATTTGTTTACTTGTGCATTAAGTATATGAGCCTGTTTGTTTCCTTTATAAATGCAATGATGCCTTAATTGTTACAATTTATTTTGTTGGGCAGTGCATGCTACAGCTCATATGGGTGGTGGGTCAAGGATTTAAATCCAGTAAAAGGCATTGCTCCTAAAAAAATAAGGAGACACAAGGCTGTTGTGGCTCTATTTTCAAGGGATTGATATTGTCTTCATGCTGCTAATATAAACAGCCCCCTCTCCATCACACTAATGTTTATTAAAATTCCATTGAAGTTATAGAGGTTTCTTTATCAGTTAAGTGATTTTTTCATTGTAAGTCAAAATCTGATGACTTCATTTACATGTATGTGTAGGCCATATTTATTCTGCTCAACTTGATTTCTTGTCATAATTGCATATTTTAATGTTTTGTTGTTGAAAAGATATGATACTTGATACAATGCTATGAAGAAAAAAAAATAGTTCTGAATCTCAACTAACAAGCTATGTTGACATGTAGAATAGAAGGAAAAATCTATTCACAAGTTAGTAGAAGAGATGGGAAGTATGAGGGTGAAAAAGATTTTTTTTTTTTCATATCTGACAACATATGTACTACTTCACATGTATCTTGGAGTCTTTCAGTTTCAGTTGCTATTTTCATAGTTTGTGCCACCGTTTATTAAGTGACGAGAGATGTAGTAAATTCCTGTGGCTTTTACCAACTTTTTTCAATTGATTGAACAGTCAGAGGGTGTTCACATCACTCTCTCTACATTGTATATTAACACTTTGCCTATGGGAACTGGCTTGCTACTGTAAGAAACGCTATGGAAATCAGAGAATTCAGTTGTTAATGGGTTAATATGTACTTAGGATCAGATGTTATCAGGGGATAGGTGTGGAATGAAAGTGACATTAATAGTAATGACTTCTTGACGTCAAGGGTTTCATGCTTGAGGATTCCCTGGTCATCTTGCTTTATTTTCATTTTGGTATTGTTTCTCCTTTTCCTCCTCTTTCTTTTCCTTCTCCTCCTTCTTTTGATTGATATCAATTTATTGAATTGTTGAATCCAGAAATCCCTCTGTGCTTCACCAGTATATTGATCTGTAACCAAATCCATATGTCTCTTTCCTACAGGTTCCATGAAGTTACAGAGTGGTTCTGTCTCAAACCTAAGCACGGAGATAATGAGGTCACCCCAGCCTATTTCTTCAATCTTTGGGCTCCTCTCTGCAGAGACTTCAAGGATCTATGGAAGAAGGAACAGCAAATAGCTGCTAAGATAAAGTATGCTATCTGTTTTAATATCACCATCATACTAGTGTCATATTTAGCTTTAAGAAGCATGTTTACATTTCATTTGGTAAGCTAATGTTACCTTGGCCTTAGCAATTTCATACTGACTTTGGTACCTTTAAATCTGTATTGATTCAAAATGTACTTTGTAGTACATGAATACATAGAAATTAATTTATGCTTTTCCACAGAAGTCTTCCTTGTTCCTGATATATCCATCTCTGTTCTGTTCATTGCCCCATGTTTTTAATCTTTAATGTTGTGTCTTATTGAAATTGATTCTGGTCTTGCATTTGTTAAACCTATTAAACAAGTAGACCACAATCTGTGATATCAAATCTAATGGCTAAATAATGAGATAATATGAAACAGAGTTATTGCGGTGCTGGCTCCACCCAAGTCTCTGCTTTCTTCTGCTCCTATCAAACCGCAGAGGCTGAGAGTCTTTGAGAGTTCAAAATATGGTTTTATGATTAAAAGAAAAAGCTCCATATTGGGTAGTAAGGCCAGGGTCAAGATGGCTGAATTATGCTAGGTTTGGACACCAAGAGGCCGTATGTTGACGTCATTATCACCTGTGGCATGATTTGTGGCAAGAGAGAGGGGAGTTTTCGTCTTGATGGATGTTTCAATTCAGGCTCTTAGTTTTTAGTTCCTTACAAGAGAACCTGTTAGTTGTAGCTGTGACAATGTCACTAGACTGTGTTGATTGAAATGCGGTGGCAGATGATAGGCTTTTAATTTGTAAGCTAAATCTGCAAATGCAATCAAACACTGGTCAGCAGATCTTTCTTTTCTCTCTGTCTCTTTCCCTCCCCTCCCCTCCCCACCCTCCCCTCCCCACTCCCTTCTCTCTTCCATCTCTCTTTCTCTTCTACCCCTGTTTCACCTAAAAGTGAGTCTGAAGCCAGCCTTAAAAGGTGGCCCGAAAACTGGTGCTAAGAGCAGGCTAATTTGTTAATACCCTGTTTACACTGCAGTTCGGAAAGGTGGCTCCTGCTACAACCCAGGGGAGGGGGGTAGGCATTAGCCATCTATAAATACTGACCACCACCACCCCCCCCCCCTATCCTATCATGTTGGTGACCCCTCAATGTTTAGAACCACTACTGCATGTGAGTACTATGCCATCTACCAACCCAAATGAAGGGCTGTTTTTACCCGTCTCTCTTCAGGTTTTTTTTTATAGTCACTTTTTTTTTTAAATCTTCATATTTCATTTTCAGTTAAATTCATGGATTGTAAAGACTATCTGGCAAGAATCGATGACATGTACTGTGTAAGTGAGTATGAACTCTAAATTTGGGTATTTTTTTTCCTTTTCCAGGTTAATTGAAAGCCAGGAGTTTGTACGACAGAAGCAGGAGGAATGGAGGAAAGCTGCTCCAATAAAAACAGGGACTAAAAAAGCTGATGGACTGGTAAATAAATATTCCTGTTTTAACAGACCCAACATACATTTGAAATATGATGAATCTTATTGTTTTATCAAGAATGAAAAGAAAATTGTAAAACTGGTAGGAAATACCTTTCCTCTTTGTCAGGGGACCTTGATTACCCCAACTTGGCGCAATTGCATGTATTACCAAATGTATCTCTTGGACCAGAATTTTCATTTGCACAACCGTGTCACATAATCCTTAACATCAAGTTAATGGACTTATTGTTATTGCATTTCAATTAAAATTTGAAAACAACAAACCTCTAGGAAATTCAAATCATTAAATAAGTCATTGTTGTCTCTCTTTTTTAAAAGACTGTATGAAGCTAATCTTGAGTTCCTCTTGCATCAGGAGAGAAACTAATTGAAAACATTCTGGATTGTTTTCATGCTGTATGTTGGCAGTCTAGATCAACAAATTGTAGACATACTAATGAAAAAACACTCAAATCCACTTCAACCATGTGTTCTAGTGTTCAACAGGCAGTTTTACTCATTCTTAAGATAATATTACTTTGAATCAAAGTCGTTTGGCAGCCTTCACTTGTTATGTAGTATAGAACATTCAGCGTATGTTTGGTCTGGATTTTCTGTCATTACCAGAAGACAAACAAAAAGGATTTGAAATAATTAATCTGTATGTTAACCTTTGTACATTAATCTTTCTGGTTGTGTACTTGTTGATCATCATACCTCTTACCCCTACCCCCACGTTTGTTTTTTCTACTTACAGAAAGCAAGACTGAGCAGAACGGCTTCAACAAAATCATAGTAGATGTCTTGCCTCCTCTCCTTGGAATGGACTTAGGATGAGCCAGTGCTTGACATAATATATACAACTCAGGGAATAGTGTCATATTTTGTAAGGATTGTAAGTGAGCAGAAGCTTGAATATGGTTTCAGGAAGTATTCAAATATGATTGAATCTTCAGATATTACTAAACAAGGTCTAAGTGTACTCATGGTCTGTGAATACACAGATTACTCTCTGTTGACTGTGAGTTGTACCATAGACTCAAATATAAAGGTTACATTTTGAGTTGGTCAATAAGAGTATTAGTGTTTTAGCTCTTACACCTAACTATGTAATAGTATTTTATTTTACTACAAATTAAAGATGTTCCATGTGAATATGTTCATATGTTAATAAAGAGTGAGGAGCAGATAAACTGGATTGGATTTACAGGGTATTAGCACCTTCACCTCTCTTTCGTTTCCAAGACATATTGCAAAAAACATGTATGGTTAACAACTTTCAAGGTAACATACTACGCAAAAAGAAATACAGGCTGAACCAGTTTAATCTGACCAGATTCAAATGAACAAAATGGCACTCATGGGATTTGTTGTGTAGTGTGAAACTTATTAGCTTACATTTGGGAACCTGCTTTTTTTTTTTTAATAACTAAATCTTGTCACATTGGACATGATCTTTCAAATATTTAGATACGTTTGATAATTGTGAATTGTTAATGAAATAGTAATAATTCAATCGTGCCACAATTTTTGTATTCCTACTTTAGTTTGAAATAGAAATGATTAGAGAACATTTTCTTTCACTTCCAATTATGATATTGTCACATTTTTGTTTGAACAACTCTAATTCAGCTGAATTATGATTGCTTTCAATTTGAAGAGAAGAGCATAAAACTTGGCCAGAAGCTGAAATGATTACATTATATTCATGGCAATAAAACTATGCAGTATTGTAGAACCATAAAAGTAGGTTCAACATTTTCCAATTTTGTTTCCAAGAGTAATCAGATAATTCTGTTGAGAACAGTTACAAGCAAGTATTGCTAGTCTAAATTTTATGACCTCTGTTTTCTTGAAATTCCATTGAGTTTTGAATGTTGTCTACCGGTATTTGTTATACTGGAGTAATTTTCTTTGGTTTTTTATTTTTTTGTAATTATGTGTGACATTTTTCTTACCCTTTCCTACCATTACGTTCTCCCCTCCATCGTTTTGTTTTCTTGTTTGTTTGTTTTTGTTTTCTTGTTACCATGTTGTTCTTTGTATGATATGTATGGATTATTTGTTGATGCACCACATTGGCTTCCAATATTTCTCAATTCAACTGATTGTTGTGTGTGATGTATAGCTGAACAAAGAAATCTTTATTGATCTATGCAGAAAATAATGGCAGATGAAGAGGCAGATAACGATGAAGTTGGGCAATACCCTCGACTATTAATACATTGCAAAGGAAAGTGTGTCATGTAGTGTAGTAGAGAAAAAAGGGTATTAGAGAATTACTTGAATGTTCAAAGTAAATTGTTTTTAATCTAGTCTTCTCCTTTTACTCATCTCTCTCTCTCTCTCTCTCTCTCTCTCTCTCTCTCTCTCTCCTTGAGTATCACTTACATTATGTATGTATATATTCATCTTAAATCTTTATCAAACTTCTCATGCCTGTTATTTTCTCTTCAAATGTTTACTATTATCTTGTATGATTGCTAATTCGTAACTAGGTCATTAGTATCTATTATTTCTATAAACAGTGATGCATTTGGCCATGAAATCTGTCACAAGCTTGGGTTTTCTTATACAGTTATTAGGAGATAACTGTTGTATCATTTACATAAAGCCTTTGTCGCCCTCTATGGCTTTGTATGGTATATTTTGTCTGATTTAGTGCCTTCCCAAAGGCAATATTTTCATTTGAATAACAAAAAAGTCTGTTTTGTTACTGTTACATTAAACGTTGTTATCTAATCTTATAAGTGTCATGATTTGAAGTTTTAGCAAGCAATAAGAGATTGAGGTAGCTGAATATAAATCTGTAAAAGAGATTAAGTTATGTATTCATTTTCTGTCCTCTGTTCATTCATTGTAGTGCAATAAAATTTCCTTTCATAATATGTATGCTTAGTACTAAGTAGTGAAATGATTTAATCCAAGGTAGGGTTAAAACAGTACTGTCTAACTATAAATATAATTACAAAATCTTTTTTAGGTAAATATGTTATTCCTGGATATTCTTGAGAGATATCAAATCCATATGTATGCGTTTGCAGTATGAATAACTATAAGATTGCTCTTGACTTGTACATTTCCTCTTTTTAGTTTCTTAATGAATCATTCGCTAAGAGACTTGTTGCATGAAACTCATGTCTTTCACATTAGTTTGTAAACAAAGTATTCAAAAGGCTGATACATGTAAAGGATTCACAAAGTATTTTGACTCAATTTTGTTGTATATCTTAACAGTGATAAGTAAGTTCATAAGTTGAACTTTTTTCTTTGGTCATATTTTAAATGTTTTTGCTATGAGTACAATATATTCAATAAACTTTAAATTAATTGATATTTGTATTCATACTAGTCATAGTTTATAAACTAGTTTGTCTGAACTCATGAATTGGCTGAATTATTTACATATCTTTTTATATTGTAAGCTGCTATAAAGTGATAATTGTATATGTTTGCTGAATGCTTAAAGAAAGAGGCTGAAATTACTACAAAGGGCTGATGTTACTTAACTCAAACTTTCTTGCTTTTATATTTATATTTAGGAAACAGTTTCATACTATTGTAAATTTGTGAAGAATATATATTTCATTTGTTCATGTATTATTAAAACATTCCTGTGTGGTATTCGGGGAGATATATTTTTAGAAAACTCTGGAAATATGTCCAGATCGTGGAAAGATATTCCAGATAAGGGTGGAGTTCCATTGCAGTGGTTACATTCCTTTTTATTCCTGAATAGCAGATAATGTATGCGCTTCTTGGATTTTAAACAGTATAGAACAATGCTAATTGGATTTATTGTAAACATGAATAGCTGAACATGGAGGACATGTTCTTTAATGAAGGGGTATTCAAGATTATTCAATTATTCATCAATAATTAAAGGATTTTCATCGATAAAAGTACTACCAAAGACATTCCATTTAGAAAGAAAATGTCAAGAGACCAAGTTGACAGACTAATTTTTGTTGATGATGAGTATTAGCTTCATGTTGGAGTGTAACTCTTAGTGTTTCATGTCTCTCACAGCTCAAATAATCCTTCAATTTCTTTTTATTGCATCTTAGTGATACCACGTAATAACCAACTCATTTGAACTCTGAATGTAGATTATATGCATTGTGTGCCCCCCAATATGGTTTAGTGATTGCTGGGGTATTATGAGGGTCAATGGTCTCCATCTCGAGTATTTTACCAACAGTTACTGATCATTGCCATTAGACGATCAACTCTCTTTTCTTTGTACGCTGAAATGTCAAATCTGTAAGAATAATTTGAGATCTAGTATTTGCTCTATTAATCAACTTGATTCATATGAAATGTAAACATTGATTTAAAATTCAGCAAGTGTTGAAAAGTTGGATGGTGTGTTTCCATTGCCATGACATTTCTGTACAGTTAATTTGAACAATGCCCGTACGTGTCTCAAATGGGAGGTCTGCACAGCAGTTGGTGTTGATCACCGTTATACATCAATAGAACAGTTCCCTGAACATATAATTGGGCATGGTAACATGTTTTTCATTCTTTCAACGATGTGTAGAGGACTGAAATTGTATTCATTTTATAGTAGTTCTCTCTCTCTTCCATCTCAAGCAATTCCAGTTCCACATGCTTAGTATTACAGTGCATGTTCTATGATTGTTTTACCTGACTGCTAGAAAGCATTTACATCATTGTTAATTGCTTTTCCATACAAAATATGATGCAGAATTCATTGTGAAATTAAAAAAAGTGTTAAAGTTTGAATTGTCTTTTTGACTTGATCTTAATTTAGCTATAGTACCTTTTCTTCCACTTCTTTCATCACCCTTATTTCTTATTCTTTCACATTCATTTTCCTCCTATATATTCCATTTGTCCTCCTTTCTTTGTTTTATTGTAATCATGTCACTTATATTCTTCTCTCTCTCTCTCTCTCTCTCTCTCTCTCTCTCTCTCTCTCTCTCTCTCTCTCTCTCACTCTCTCTCTCTCTTCTTATATTTTATGGTACACATGTATTCTTATCAAAATGTTTCATACAAAATTGAAGGAAAAGTGCTACATTGAAATCAACGAGAGTAAAATATAATTTATAAAAAATAAAAACAATCATCAATTGTTTCTTTATGGAAGAGGGTTTGTTATTGAATGAATTATGAACCAGTGTATTTCAAAGATTATATTTCATTCCTTTTCTTTACATTTCACGCATTCCTCAATTCGATGAAATATTCATGAAAAGATTTTGCACTATAGTTTTGATACAAAGTCAATTAGGGTATAACACATCCTGTATGGGCTCTGCTATTGTAGATTATTGTGAATTAATGTGCTGACGATGGTGACATTTTCACCATAACTGAGTTAGAATATGTAGAGAATGGTAGCTATTCAACATAACTATGTATTATGCAAATGATTTTGAGAATGGTATATTTACAAAGAGAGCAATAAATTATGGAAATTTACTCTTAATGGTTATCTTGCTGTGTTCATGTAGTGTTTGATAGTAATACCTATTGTTATGATGATGCGAGGATGAATAGACATTTTGTATAGCAGTTTATTTAGAAGTCAAGGGCAGTTAGCTGTATTAGGTGTCGTCCTGGATATGGTCAACGTTTTTCATTTTTCCTTGGTATGACAACTGCTCCGTCTAAAAAAAGGACCATGATTTTGCAATAGCTCAAAAGTTTAATGAAGATTGAAATTTCTGGGTTTTTTGTTGTCTTTGGGCATATTTGTTCTTCATGATTCAACCTCTTGAATATAAATCTCTAAAATTATAACAAAACAATACTATAATAGCTATAACACTTGTTAACACCACCGACAACGTTTTGTTAGTTCTTTCTTATACTTTTTTTTTCTTCTCCTTTTTTCTTTAGTATTTGGGGGAAAATGGAAACCAATGGCACTTTTTATCCTTGTCGGCAAATACGATGAGGATTTGTTTGTACTTTGAAAGTTTTCTGCTTAATGTTATTTCTTGGCAAATGGATCTGACATCCAAGTCTCCCTCACACCCTCACCGTGCACACGTATACACATACCCACGCCCACACACTTCCATACATTATGAGAATGAAACAAATCGGAAAATCTTTACTTTTGTTTACTGTGAATTTGGAACAAGTGCTCATAATCAATATTATTGAAGTGTTTTCTGAAGATGAAAATAGAATTATATCAGTGAAATTTGCGTTTTGTTTTGTAAAAGAAAGATATATAGGCAGAGACTTGTTGGCGACGAAGAAGTATTTCTTTGGTTATCGAATCGACTATCCTTCATGGATTTGATAAGTTAGTCTGGCTCTGTGGATTCAGGGAATACAGTAATTCTTGTATTGCTTACTTGGTCAGTGAAATCATTGTAAATGATGACCTATGATATTGATTCATATTTCATTTTAGTCTTGTTTTCAATAGTTTATTTATATGAATCGCTACATCGTCTATTGTTTGATCGTAATTAGACTTGTTTAATAGCTGGCTAGTTCTATAATGGTTGATTGATTTTGTTAGATGGGCTGTATAAGTTGTCTGTCTCTACTGGCTTGCCGTCTCTATAAGTCGGTTGATTGGATGGTTGCTTTCATAATTGCCGGTGGCTTGCGGGTGTGGCCATTTTAAAAGAATGATTATCTGGTTTTATGGTTGGTCTGCTCAATGGAGGACAGATTGGTCAAATTATTCAAAGATTAATGACTGGTCATTTACTAGTTGAACAATATGGTTGATGATCAGTAATCAATAATTCATATTAATCTCCCTTAATGTGTTGATGCTAGCTTTATCATTATGATGAGTGATATTGTCATAATTTTATGTCTGATATTTGCTATTATTACGCTGACAAAACCCATCCAGAAAATTCCAGTCTTTCAAAATGCATCAGTTGAATAGTCCAGATTATTGATAGTACGTCGCTTCTTTGACATTCCTCGACTACCATGAACAAGCTTGACTCGGTCATGCTTCTGGCTGCTGCTTCTGGCTGCCATAAAATTGACAGTAAAACTGAATTGAGAACGAGGTGCAGCCGACGTTCCGTGTAAAAACTCGGCTAATGGGTCCATGGAAAGGGACATGGAGACGACACGACATCTATTGATATTCATTTGTCATAATAAAGACAGGATCAACCTTAAAGAATGACAACTATTTTTGATCTGCATTCTACTGTTCATGTAATGAGATGATCTTGAGGCATTAAGCCAGAAAATACCCGCCCCATAATCGTCTAGGATTGTGTCTTTCTAGTTTGACAGATGCGTCCAACTCCCCTGCTTAAATGAATTATTTATATTAGTACAAGAAAGGCAGCACGGGAGAAAGAATAAAATGGGAAGAAAGCCGCTGAAAAGAGAGGTAATTGTACTGCAATGATCGATAAATAGCGTTGAGCCGTGTCGGGAATACAAATATAAGTTTGTATTTAACAGGTATTATTCGGTTAGCATCAATGCCTGGGTATTGTATGGGATGATAAGCTTGAGGCGTCATCATACTTCACCGATTATTCTCGTATTATACTTGTTTTAAACAGGCGCCACGCAGACGATAGAACACGACGCAACTCCGTCTTTCGGGGAGTTTGTACTTTTCACTACAAAATCAGAGCTTTCATGTCGAGTACCCCAAATATACCGATAAATGATCATTCTTTTATTGGCTGTATTTTCTTTGGGTACGGTAAATCCAGGTATACAAAAGTCACTAATCTAATATACACGCAAGGAGACACACGACTTTAGATTCTGAATTGCCTTGGATTTTGGGTAATGATATTCGTTCCATCATCGTAGGCTCGTATAGATTCTAGTCCTAAAAATGATAGATTAGGACTCAAATAATACAGGTTTTGCCTTCTATCTATGCATATTATAATGGAAGGACGTCAAAGACAACATTTTCCATCAATTTATTTTATAAAAGACTCAAGATAAGTCTCATTGATCATAAGTTAAAACTTTTATTTCACCAAATGTAATATCGTCTACTTGATATATTTATATCGTTTTCTGTAAATTTAGGTCTACTTATTGGTTCCTTTTTGTGTTTTGGGGGAATGACTAATCTCCTTTCTGCCTTGATCTGCCTAATTTCTTAAATTTTATTCACATATGAATTATATTAAACTAATATTTCAACTTCAAATTCTAACTTATAAAATGACTAAATAATTACCATCTTTATTCAAACCTTTTTTTCATTCTCAAAATGTCCAATGTGTTGGTTTAAACTTCATTAAGAAGTTCATAGGTGGAGGTTTTACTTTTAAACGATGATGATAAGAAATATTTTTCCTTTGTGAAAAGTAGCAAAAACAAGACTAGATAAGAAATACGTCATTATTTTCTGTAGACATGCAATCGCAATAAAGTTATTGGAAAATCCTTTGACAATCATTTAATGGCAATTTCGCCGAGTCATGCGTAAATTATATTGCATTTTCTTTCAAGAAAGTTAATTCACAAATATGAATGTTTAGCTGAGAAAAAAAGCGGTACTCCTTTCAAAGAATTATATCATCATCAAGAACAAAATGATTCGTCGTCACTCAGAAAGAAAAGGAAAAAACCTCAGCATTATGACGTATATGGGGTTCAATAACCTGTTACTGAGGAAGCCGCATCGTATTTTTATCCAAATTATTGCCGAAAATGGCAATTGTCACCAATCTTTATCGTCAAGTGGAGGAGCAAGGATTTTGTTGGAAGATGGAGACACAGCGATTAGTCTGACTGGCGACAGGGAGAGCGATCCTGGTGTGAACTTGTCACATTCCAAACTCAGGGGTAGCTCTAACCCAAGACAGTATGCTGATGGTTGTGTGGTGCGTACCCATAGGACCAACTAGACCCGCAGTTGGTCTACCCCAATCATTCTTGGTGCTGGTTGGTGGCTGTCGAAATGTTGCATCAACGGATGCTGAAGCCTGTAAATGCGCACGCACCTTTCCCTCAAACACACATTGCCAAACTTTTGGTGGATAAAAACGTGGGAATGGGTGGGAAGAAAGAGAAATACCAAACAGACGGCGTAAACTAATTCGGAAAGCTGAGAAAGATTGGGGAACATGATTAGGAAAGAGATAAAGATGAACCCTGAAAATGGGGAAGAATCTAGCAAAGAGTCACGAGTTTAAACCAAATTGGTAATCGGAAACTAATTTCACTGGATTCCATTAGTCACAATGGTACCGATATCTCTGTCGACGATTTCTCTGAAACCATGGACTAGGGTAATGTGGTGGGAGTGTTAACAAGCTTTGGTTGTGACACCGCTCCACCCATCTCTAGCTCCCCCGTCTGTGTTAGTGGTTACGGCACAGTACATGCCAATGAATTGGTTGGTTATAGGCGATCGGGGCTCCCGCCGAGTCGCTGGGCCGGGTTGCATGTCCGCTCGGGTGCAACCTTTCGAGGATAAACGGATGCAGCCATCGCATTCCAAGACTCCTCCCATTATTTTTAAATTTTAAATCAATAACATTTTTGGTGAACTTAAACAGTTTCTATGAATCTATAATTGTTACGAATAAGATGTGGGTGTAAAGGCACTTCAAAATCTTCTGTAGTTCTAAAACGTTTCCAAACCTAAAATCTTATTCCCGTGGTCCTCTTGAATGACTGTTTGCTTGGACATCAAAGCAATTTAGTATTTCGAATTCTAGCAATCCAGTAACGCTGCCCTTAGAATGCGTATTTGTTACTTTCAGTTTTTGTTTAGGAATTTGATTTTCCCGTAATTGGATTTATACACATCTGATCGAGTGCATGCACTTTATATTTAAATTGTGCTACACATTAATTTAATTTCACCCAATAATGAAATGCTGCCAAGAATATCAAAGGGTCTGAAGACTTGACATATTATTTTGTCGACTTGTAATTATGTCCCGATGAAAATTAGATCAATTTGTTTAAAATAAATATTTCATTAAGTGTTATCTGAAGTTTTGATGTAGTTAGCGGCCATTTGGATACTGTGTTGTTATCAATATCTGCTGTTTTATGTTTTATCCCATTATTATATCTATATATTTTTTTTATCGAACTGACGTCCCTTTTCATAACTCTTATTATAAATAAGGTCATATCAATATGTCATTTTATAGTCATTTGCAGATCTTTCCATGATTACTTTCTCCACATTATCTCTCTCTCTCTCTCTCTCTCCCCTTTCTATCTATCCATCTTTGCTCTTTTATATATCTTGTTTCCATCTGCCTTTCAACTTTTCTCTCTACTATCTTATTTTCGAGCTCACACTTCCCCTCTCAACCCCGCCCCCTCTGTCTCTCTCTCTCTCTCTCTCTCTCTCTGTCGCTTTCTTTCTCCTTTATTCATTCAATGTTCCCATAATATTATATGTCATGTTCTATAACAAAACACAAACTGATATTGTAAGCATTTTACTTCAATCTCCTCTGCTCAATATATACATCACAGGCTGGTAACCAAAATAATAATGAA